TTGATTTTGATATGTAGTGTCTCCTGTGCAAGCACATTTTGGTTTGAACTAGTCATGTGCCAACTCTCCAGTAGCATTGCGTACCATTCAAGGCCTTACTTCTAGTAGTTTTGATTAATAAAATTTCTGAATGTAAAACTTTTGTTTTTCACTATGTTTTCCTGGCTGACCTATAACTCACTGTGTATGAACCCATAGAAATCCACCTGCCTGTGCTTCCAGAGTGCTGGGAATCCAAGCCCAGCTAATTGTAACTTTTGATAACTGATTTCTAATTTTTAAAGTAAGAATTTAAATGGTATATAGTTTTTTTTAATTAAACTATTGGATTAGTTATTTTCTGCTGTATATTGATTCTTCATTGTTTTTATCTGACATATAGTATTGCTCTTCTAAATACATTGTTTCCATATCCTTTTTCTACCTCTTTTTGTTACTAAATCTCATTTGCATGATAGGAACTTAATTTCTGATGTTTACACAAATGTTAAAAATATGTATTCTTTAATGATTTTCAGAATAATAAAATAGTTTTTGTTTTTTGTTTTTTGTTTTTTTACTTTGTATAGTCATCAAGTTGTAGAAAGAATGTATTTCTTATTTCAGTCAGGGAACACTTTGAAAATGTTCTAAGTTCTTGTCATTTAAAAATGGCAGCATTTAGTGACACTATATACAGACTTAAAATATACCAAGCTCTTTCAAGGGTGAGTTCTTAGTGTGTTCCTTTTTCTCAGAATGAAAAAAAAAACAAGGACAATACTTAGTAAACCATTCCTTACTGTAAAGTGGATCCAGTTGACAAATAAGTCAATAATGGAACATCTGTTAACCACACTTCTATCACTCTTGATGTTTTGTTTTCTGCTACTTCCATCAGATAGTCCTGCCCAGTGCTTGCATTTTCTTAAATACTCCATATTCAGAACCTGAGCTTTAGAAATAAAATAAAATATGATAGAATGATATAATCCCTTAAATATTGGAGAATTATACTTTTCAGTCTATGTTATTTAGTATTACCATATAATTTAAAACTTAAAGTTTAAAACTTAATATTGTATTAAACATTTTTTTAAACCCATTAAAATTGAAATTTCCTTATTTAAATCCATAAAAACCTATAATATTTAAAGAAAAAATAAGTTTTCTATTTAAAATGAAAGAAAACATTTTTGGGTTTTTTTTTTTTGGTTTTTTTTTTTTTTTTTTTTTTTTTTTT